GTAGTTCCAGCTACTTGGAAGACTGAGGTGGAAGGATCGCCAGAACCCAGCAGGTCGAGGTTGCGGTGGCTGGGAGCAGCCACTGCACTCCAGTCTGGGCGACCGAGTGAGACTCCGACTCAAAAAAAAAAGGAAAAAAGAAAGAAGACATGCCAGGCATAGGGTGAAGCCAGGGTGAAAGCATAGCAACCCAACCCCTCCCTGAGGGCACCGCATGTGTCTGGACCCCCTCTCCTTTCTGTGTCTTTTGTCTCTACAGGTCAGTGCAGCCCGGGAGGACCCCCAAGGGTGGGCAGGCGCTCAGGAGAAGGCCTGCCCCCCTTACCCCTACCCCCCAGGTCTCCACCCCTCAAGCCAGGAGACTCCAACTGTCTTTGCTGTTTATATATATATATATATTATATAAATATCTATTTATCTGTCTAAGACCTTCCCTTCACTCCACTCCTCTCATGCACTAGGTGCCCAGTCTTAAGTGGGCCCCTCTCTTATCGCACCCCTTCCCCTGCATCCCTTGGCCCTTCTCTGTTCCCCATTCCTGTCCCCTGAGGTTAGAGGGCTCTGAGAGGGGGACAGGGAGGGGACAGACCCCGGCTGTGTGGGGAGGGTGGGCGTGGCTTCAGACTCTCCCCTCTCTCCCTCCCCTCCTCCCACCTCTGGCTTGATTCCTCTAGCAATGCCTGAACAGAGGCCATTAGGGGAAATCCGACCCCAGAGTGAGAGAAGGGCGGAGACCAGGAGGGGTTGGGGCAGAGAGGACAGCTTAGGACCCAAGGTGGTCTTGGTGGGGAACTCTGGAGTGGAGGGGTCAGCAGACCTACTGGATGTAGAGTCTAAAGGAGAAGGATGCCCTAGAGCATTCTGGGATGGGCCTTGGAAGGAGGCTGAGGGTGTGGTGCTAGAAGGAGCCGGAGCTTTAAGTGGGGGCAGCGGGTGGGGCTCCAGAGTGGGTGGGTCTTGGACTGGGACCAAAATCTATGAAAGGGATGTGGAATGGAACACTGGGAGACTGAGCTTGATTCTCAAGGGGACAGATCTTGAGCAAGGCAAGAAGTGGGATTCAGGAATGGGCCAAGCTTGGGATGAGGTCCTGGTCAGGGTTCCAGAGGGGCAGGGCTTAAAGTGGAGCTTGCATGGTCATTTCAGAGAGGCAGCCCCCCCATGGGGCAGTGAAGAAAATATATTTGAAAGTGGATGGCACTGGTCAGTAGGTGGTGGGGGGACTTGGTGAAAAGCTTTGGGATGGGTTTTATTAGGAATGAGGAGGAATGACCCTGGACAAGGCTGGGGACCGAGGTGACCTGGGAAGTTGAGTGATATGGCTTGGCGGGTAAGGCATGGGATCCAGAGAGAAGCACCCCCACATACCCTTGCCCACCCCCTGATGAGACAGCTAGGTAAGCAGAGAACATAGCCAATGGGTCTGTGGGGCTGGCCCACCCCTCTTCCCCGCTTCCCCTGCCCCCTCCTTCCCTCCACATCCGCACCCATCCTGGGGTGGTCGGAGGCCCGGTCTGGAGACCCTATCCTGCACCCTCTGCTGTGTCTGTGATGTTAGTAGTGCCTGTGATCGTGTGTTGCCATTTTGTCTGGCTGTGGCTCCTCTCCCTCCCCTCCAGACCCCCACCCTTTCCCACACCCTTCGGTATTGTTTGAAGACCCCCTCCCCAAGGAAGAACAAATATGATTAATTCTCCCCCAAATAAACTCCTCATCCATCTAGTCCACCCGGCTCTGATTTCTCCGTGTGTCTTTTTTGGGGATGGAGGGAATGATGGAGAGGTGGGTGGAGGAGGTGACAAGAAGCTCCATTCCCAACCTGCTGGCTGCCTTTCTGGTTGCTGCACCATTTTAGGCCCCTCCAATTTATGCCCAGTAGCATCCTCTGAGAAGCTTCGCCTGTGGAGTATTGGAAGTCATGATTGGCTGGGGGCAGTGGCTCAAGCCTATAATCCCAGCACTTTGGGAGGCCGAGGTGAGAGGATTGCCTGAGCCCATGGGATCGAGACCAGCCTGGGCAACTTGGCGAGACCTCATCTCTACAATAAATCACAAAAATTAGCCAGGCGTGGTGGCATGCGCCTGTAGTTCCAGCTACTTGGAAGGCTGAAGCGGAAGGATCACCTGATCCCAGCAGGTTGAGGCTGTGGTGGCCAGGAGCGTGCCACTGCACTCCAGCCTGGGCGACAAAGTGAGACTCCAACTCCAAAAAAAAAACAAGAAGTCATGCTCTGTGTAACCCTACTCGCTGTCCCACTACTGGCCACCGAATGCCCAGTCTTTCTAAGAGTTTGGTTTTAATTCTGGTCCCTTAACCAAGCCCCTTCTCGGCCCCTGTCAAGCCCTCTCCTCCAATCCCCAAGGGGTCCGAATAAGACCCCCATACTTCACAGGGAGACTTCACCTTACCCGACCCCATCCGCAGTCTCAGACCTGGTGTCTCTGTTTTCTTGCCTCTGCCCCAGCTGGGGAAACGGGGGACCGGTTAGGCAGCAAGACCGGGGGGAGGGGCGCTGGGGTGACTCCTTAGTTAATTAATTTATTCATTCTCTTCTACCCCTCCCCGGCTCCTCCTTGGGGCAAGGAGGGGCGGGAAGTGACAGAGACGTGTGTAATGGGGGTGGGGCAGACCCCTCGGCGCCTACGATGAAAGGCCCGGCTGAGTTGCCGCCTCGGTGTCTGATTAGAGACCCTGCTCGGGCGCCCGGTTCTAACTGCTGGAGCAGGACCCACCTCCTCCCAGCCCTGAGGCTCAGAGAAGCCCCAGAGCGTGAAGGAGAGGCTCCCAGCCCTGGAACTGAGCTCAGGGGAGGGGAACTGGAGAGAAAAATGGAAAAGGAGGAGAGAAGGCTTTAAGATCTACTTCTCAGGACTTGGGGGCTAGACAGCTAGGCCGGTAAGGATGGGGAAGGAACCGGGAAGAAGGCTTTGGAACCTAGCCGGTGACTAGTCCCCCTTTTCCATAAATCTCAAATAATTCTGGCTCTGAGCGGGGACTGAGAAGGGAGGGGCATGTATAAAGTGTAGCTTTCTGGTGAGGGCGAGGGAACACCAGCTGGGACTGCAGATGAGATTGGGGACCATTCTTGCAGCATTCACCTGGGGAAAAGAGACCCTCGGAAGCTCACTCGTAGGGGGAAACCAAGAGGTGGCTTTAACGCCTCCTCCAAATAAACAGACATGAAGCGTCAAGTACAAGCACCGTAGCACACCACCCCTTCCAATTAGGTCGCCTCCTCCAAGTCCCCCCCCTCCTTCACTACAAGACCTCAAGCCCTAGAATGTCCCGTGTAAGGCCACGTGGCACACAGGGGGTTCTGGGGGCCGTGCCTTGTGACACTCCGCTCTGGCCAGGGGCGTGCGAGCAGGAGCCTTTCCCGCAGAGCGCTCCTGGGCTGCGTACAGCTCACCTGTAGGCAGAGGGCGCCTTGGCCTCGGAGAGACAACAGGCCGGGGGGCGGGCCCTGCGGGGTGCGCTCCTCCCACGCGGGTGTCAGGTTTACGGAACAGAGTTCCCAGGCCCGACGCGCGGTGGCCTGACGGCCGCGAGGAGTCCATTCGCCTGACCCGGCCTGGCTTGACCCTGCCCGGGCGCGCCATGTTCGCGCGTGGGTCCCGGAGGCGCCGCTCGGGGCGTGCGGTGAGCGAGAGTCAGGGCAGCGGTGGGAGTCGGGGGTAAACTGAGGCCCAGGCGAGGGCGCCGGGGATAGGAATAGCAAATAGGCGCCCCACAGAGGGTCGGGGAATTCCGCCTCCAGCATTCCCAGACCCGGGGCTGGGGTTGCTGGAGGTGAATGGATGAAGGAAGGTGTAGATCTGGTGTCCCATGCTTCCTAATCACCTCTACGTGCACCTTGATGAACAACCTTGGGACCTGTTGCGCTCCCCTCCCTTGTGGATTGTGGGAGGGAATTCTGAGGGCCAAGAAATTAGGTCCTGGGGTCTTGGGTTGAGCAGGGACCGCCAACCCAAGAAAAGGACACTGTACCTTGGAGGAACGTGGACTGAGAGAGGGAGCCCTACACCCCAGGGATGCCTGAATGCTGAGGGAGGAGAGACTGGGAATGGGGGGAACAGGGCTTCCAGACTTCTGCCTGAGCCTTGACTTCCTAGATGGATCGCTGTCTTGCTTTGGAGAGGGTCTCCGAGAGGGGAAGGTGGGGTCTGGTGGTCCAGAAAAGGAGTAATTAGCACTAGGATATGACGGGCAATGGCCAGGGTTTCTCGGTGTTGAGGTTTCTGAATGGAGCAGGGATCTTCTGAAATTCTGAAGGGATCAGTTCCTTGACTATAAGGGGGTGAAGCCTGGACTTAGGAGAGGAGCCCCTGAGCTTCTAAAGGGAGGGCAGGGTTCATGTGGTGACCCCAAGGAAGGATGCAGTCTCAGTCTCCTACCCTGTGGAATTGGAGTGCTGCTGGCCTCATGGGTCAGGATGAGGCCTGGGAAGAGATGTCCACATTAGTGACTCTGCTCTGGTGGGGAGAGTATTCTGAATTCTGGGGTAGGTGTATTAGGCCTGAAAGGACCTGAGGTGGATGGGTGGTGTCCAAGGCTGGATTGTGGGGGAGGGTCCGAGGCCTGCCTAGGGAGGGAAATTCCCTGAAAAGAGGGTATATAGGGAGGTGGCTTCAGCTGCTCCGCCTCTGCCTCTGTTGCGTCCTCCTCCCCCGCATCCGGGTGCTGTCCCAGCCTGCCCAGCGCTGCCCTGGTGGGACAGGCCCCAGCGTGCGGTCGCGGGCCTTGGAGTGGAGGGGCGGGCGTTGACTTCTTCCTCGCTGCTCCCGCGCCTCGCCCGGCCCTGAGTCTGCCCCCACCCACTGCAGCCTCCAGAGGCAGAGGACCCAGACCGCGGCCAGCCTTGCAACTCCTGCAGGGAGCAGTGCCCGGGCTTCTTGCTGCACGGCTGGAGGTAGGTGACCTCCCGCGGCCCAGCCTTTTTTCGGAGCTCCGCCCTCAGGGGAACCCCCGAGGCTTAGACCACGCCTCTAGGCTTGAGCTCCGCCTACAGAGGGAGCTCAACTGGGAAAAGAGCGCCACTCTCAGATTTAGAGCCCCGCCCCCGACTCATTACCAAGATTTGGGTTCCCAGGAGAGCTCCACCCACTACACAGTCCCGCCCCCAGAGGAGTTATCTAGCTTCTGAATAACCTCCCTAGAGAGATCATCCGTCCCGGGCTCTGAGCATCGCCCACTGACCTCCAATCCCGCTCTTAGGCTCAGAACTACTCTCCCAGACCCAGCGTCCTATCCTCCTACTGGAGTCCTGCACTCAAAAAAAAAAAAAATTCTCAG